GCATACGATACACTGCAACGCAACGCAACAAACCGAAAAGCAAAGCGAGGCAATCGACAAAAAATCGAAACACCCACCCAGCACTCGGGGAATGCAAAGGCGCCCCCACACCTTAGCGCCACTTCCGAGACATTCTCCCGCGGCGCGCTCTGAACCAGCACTCCGAGGCGGAAATATCCGGCCGTGGAGCGGCTGGACGCCCCCCCCCCCCCCCCTCGGGGGGCCCGAGAGGGCGAACGCGGGGGAAAAGAGGGCGGCGGCGCCGGCGCCGCCCCGCCCCCCGACGACCCAGCTCGCCGTCCGCCCCCGCCTCCTCCTCCTCCTCCTCCTCCTCCTCCTCCTCCTCCTCCTCCTCCCTCCTCCTCCTTATCCTAATCCTCCCTCCTCCTCCTCCCCTCCTCGTCGTCCTCCTCCCCGCCCGCGGTCCTGGCGCCCAGCTCGCCCTCCGCCAGCAGGCCCTCCAGCCACCCGCCGAAGGAGGCCGAGGAGATCTTCGGCCGCGGCGCGGCGCGCCCGGGCTCGGACGCCGGAGCCCCCGCGTCACCTGGCGGGGCCCCGCCGCGAGCTCTCCGGGGTGCCGGGGGCCCGCCCGGCGGCCGAGCCCGCCGGAGCCGCCCCGCGGGCCAGAGGTCCCCCGTCGCGAGGAGGCACCCGGTGGCCACCCGCCTCCTCCTCCTCCTCCTCCTCCTCCTCCTCCTCGACCTCGACCTCCTCCTCCTCCTCCTCCTCCTCCTCCTCCTCCTCCTCCTCCTCCTCCTCCTCCTCCTCCTCCTCCTCGCTCGCGCGGCACGCAGTGACCTTCGCACGCGTTCTCGCGGGGGCCGCCTCCGGGGGGGGGGGGGGCGGGGAGGGAGGAGGAGGCTCCTTCCCCTCCTCCCGTCGCCATCTCCCCCCGGAGCACTCACGAAGTTGCGTTCGCATCCGCAGCAATCACGCGAGGTTCGCCCGCCCAAAAGCAATCCAATCCGCTCTGAAAAATCGAGTGTTGGTCGCCCTCCGATCGAGATCTGACTGCTCACGTTGTTTGGACGACTTGGGCATCGAAAGCTGACTGTTCGCGCTCTCTGGACGGTTGGGGTTGTCGAGGCGCCCCCGATTCAGCGACTGGGACAGGATCGTGGGACTTTGACCGCCCCCCAGTGTGTCACCACCCGCGTCCTCGCCGACAGGGCCGGTCGCAGCCTCGACGACGTCCAGGCCGATGCCCCGCAGGTGGCTCAGACGCATGCCTCGGAGACCCCCCTGGCACATTACCCCCCCTCCTCTCCCCCCCCCCATCCCTCACCGCTCCTGCTCTCCGTGCCCCTCCCTCCCCCTGACCCCATCCCCCCTCCCTTGCCCCCCTCAACAATTGAGCAGTCCGCCACCGTGCCTGCGGCGCGCGGAGGCGTGGAAGAATGCCAAGGGCTGCCTGGCAGGGAACACGTAGTATGCTGAGGGGCCCCCCCTCCGCTTGAAGCGCCCAGCCGGCTGCGCCACCCTACTCCCCGGGGGTCCCTGGGCGGCCATGGCGTCTCCCTGGGGCTCTCCAAGGCTTCCAGGACGGCCCAGGAGGCCCCAAAGACGGTCCAACAGGGCCCCGTGCCGCCGAACAATCGCTGGAAGACGCCGAAGATGGCATCCAGATGACCCAGGAGGCCTCCAAGACGCCCCGAGAGGCCTCACACGAGGGCCCCAAGAGGCAAAAATCCGCGGACCCTGTCGGCGTGTGGAAGAGGCTCTTTCATTCGTCGCTGTTTCAGTCGTCGTCTCTTCGTCGTCGTCATCGTCGTCGCCATCGCCATTCCAAGCTTTCTCCTGGCTCTCCTTCTCCAACGCGCCAGCCGTTGCCTCTCTTACCCTGGGCCGTTCTCTTCAAGCGTGCTAGGCCAAACGACCATAACGAATGTCGTAATTCATCTGAGAGGAAGCCCGTTCCCTTGATCCCTTCCCCGCCAGAGGGGGGGTCCCGGATGAGACCCGAGGGGGTGTCCCGGGGGAGGTCTCGGGTCAGAATGCCCCCCTCCGGGAGAGTTCCAAAACCCAGAACCACCCAAGACGAACCAAGACTGCCCCAAGAGGCCGCCAAGACGGTCTAAGAGGGCCCCGAATCGCAGAACTATGGGTCCAAGACGCCAAAGTAGACTCCAGACGGTCCAAACAGTTTCCAAGACGCCCTAAGAAGCCCCCAAGAGCACTCCCAAGAGGGCCCCAAGAGGCAAAAATGATTGGTCTCCCCAGGGTTTTTGATTGATGTTGGGATTATTGCCTGTTCGGATTCCCGACACTCCAAGACGGCCCACGAGGCCCCCAAGATCGCCCCAAGGTAGCCCAAGAGGCCTCCGAGAGGGCCCCATAGCAAACCACGAGGGCCCCATGACGGCCCAAGAGGCCTCCAAGACGGCCCAAGAGGCTCCCAAGACGGCGCCAAGAGAGCACCCTGACAGGGGGACCCGAACGGACATTTCGAGCCCTCGGCCTGAGAGGCCCTCAGGAACCGCCAAGAAGACCCCAAGACGCCCCCAAGAAACCGCCAAGATGCGCCCGGGAAGCCCCAAATGGCCCCCAGGAGCATCCCAACTGCCCCCCAAGAGGCCTTGAAATGATCCCCCAGAGGCACCCGAGAGCGCTCCGAAGAGACCCCAAGAAGCATCCCTGAGGACGCTGACCCACATCAGCACAGCATCGTCGTCGTCGTCGTTCAGGGTCGGCGGCACCGGCCGTGAGGCCTCTCCAATGATCCCACCAGTACTTTGGGGCGTAGGTGGTTTGGGGTGTTTTCTCTTCCACCCCCTTCTTTCCCTTCGGGGAGGGATTTACCACTTATCCTTATTTGTACCCCCTCTCCCAGGCGACTGGGAGCCAACCCGAGTCAATGAGGGCACCCCCCACCATCCCTTGTAACAAACCATACAAAACACACTATGCCTCCAAATTCAGAGCATACGCAGCGAACCCGATGCGGTTTCCCCCCACCATCCCTGCCAAAAAATTACACAATACCCTTGGCGGCGGCTGCGGCGGCTGCGGCGGCTGCGGCGGCGGCGGCGGCGGCGGCGGCGGCTGCGGCGGCGCCGGCGGCGGCGGCGGGGCGGGCGGCGGCGGGCAGCGGCGGACAGCGGCGGCGGCAGCGATTTGGCAGCGGGGGCGGCGGCGGCGGCGGCGGCGGCGGATGGGCCCCCGGTAAATGCACATCCAAAAACGACTGCTGAATATGCTGAGGCTCGGGCCAAATTCGGGTGCTACGGATGTGTTGGGAAGGCGGGTGGGAATGAGCGAAACGGCTTGCGGGCGGGGGGGAGTCTTGATCACTGGTCCCTATTATTATACACCCCCTCCCCCAGGCGATTGGGGGGCCAACCCGAGACCATGGCGGGCCCACCCCACCATCTCGTTTATATATATAAAATAAAATAAAATAAAATAAAATAAAATAATAATATATATATATATAAAAAAAAAAAAAAAAAAAAAAAAAAAAAAAAAAAAAAAAAAAAAAAAAAAAAAAAAAAAAAAAAAAAAAAAAAAAAAAAAAAAAAAAAAAAAAAAAAAAAAAAAAGAAAAAAAAAAAAAAAAAAAAAAAAAAAAAAAAAAAAAAAAAAAAAAAAAAAAAAAAAAAAAAAAAAAAAAAAAAAAAAAAAAAAAAAAACACACAGAGTACACTTGGCGGCGGCGGCGGCTGCGGCGGCTGCGGCGGCGGCGGCGGCGGCGGCTGCGGCGGCTGCGGCGGCGGCGACGGTGGCGGCGGCGGCGGCGAGCGGCGCGGTGTCGGCGTCGAGGGGACGGCGGCGGACACGGCGGGGCGGCGGCGGCAAGGGCGCGGCCGGCAGCGGCGGTGGCTGCGGCGGCGCGGCGGGGGAGGCGGCGACGGTCGGCGGCGGCGGCGCGGAATTCGCCCCCAGTCGCTTGCCCATTCCAAAGACGGCTGCTCATATGCTGAGGGCGCGGACCATGCTCGGATGCTTACTTAATGTGTGGGAGGGCGGGTTGGGATGGAGCAAAGGATTGCGGGGGCGGGGGGGAGTGCTGAATCACTGTTCCCTGTTAGTATACACCCCCTCCCCCCCGGCGCTGGGAGTGGGAGCCAACCTGAAACCTATGCGGACCCCCCCCACTTCCCGTGTTTTTAAAAAACATGACAAAACACACTCTGCCTCCAAATTCGGAGCATAACGCAGCGAACCCGATGCGGCCTCCCCCCACCATCCCTGCCAAAACACCATACCGGGAACACTTGGCGGCGGCGGCGGCGGCGGCTGCGGCGGACAGCGGCGGGGGCAGCGGCTGCGGCGGCTGCGGCGGTGGCTGCGGCGGCGGCGGCGGCAGCGGTGGCGGCAGCGGCTGCGGCGGCAGCGGCTTGCGGCGGCGGCGGTTCGGCAACGGGGGCGAAAGCGGCGGCGCGGCGGCGCGGGCGGCGGCGGGCGGCGCGGTGGCGGCGGTGGTGGCGGACAGCGGCAGCGGCGGCGGCGCGGCTGCGGCGGCGGCGGGCGGCGGCGGCGGCGGAGATGGCGGCAGCGGCGGCGGATGCGCCCCCAGTAGCTGCCCATCCAAAACGATTGCTGAATATGCTGCGGTTCGGGCCAGGCTCGGGTGCTACGTATGTGTTGGGAGGGCGGGTGGGAGTGAGCGAGACGGTTTGCGGGCGGGGCGGGGGTAACTTGACCCCTCCCCCTACCCCGTCCACTGGACCTGGACGGGGCGTTCCGCGGGTCGTCGGAACGTCCAAAACGGCCTCGGCGAGGAAGCCCAACTCATTAGTTTTACGCTGGCTGTGGCCCCATTTTGGCCTTTTGGGGGCAGCGCTAATTGAGGGACCCCCCTTCTTTAATCGATCTCCTCCGAGAAGGCCCCAAGAGCGCTCCTAAGGCTCCTAAGGGTGCCCCAAAAGGGCCCCAAGAGAATGCCAGGAGGCCCCGAAAGGCCCCCAAGAGGCCCCCAGGAAGCCCCCAAGAGGTTCCCAAGAGACCCCAAGAGGCCCCAAGAGGCCCCCCACAGGCACCAAAGACGCTCCAAGAGGCCTTGGCGAGAATGCCAAAATCATTATGCTACCTATACGACCACCCTTCGGGTGATAAGGAGGTTGTGGGGGGGGAGAGGGGGGAACCAACATCTGACTCAATCGATCTCACGATCGATCCCACTCAACGGGAAACCACGGCACACCATGGGACACCACGGGACACGTATCGCTCGCACTATCGATCTCACTTAGCGGGACACCACGGGACACCACGGGACACCACGGGACACCGCGGGACACCTTCCGATATCACTATCGGTCTCACCATCGATCTCACTATCGATCTCACTCAAAGGGACACCCTAGGACACCACGGGACACCACGGGACACATCGGGGCACCACATCGATCTCACTATCGATCTCACGATCGATCACACTATCGATCTCACTCAACGGGACACCGCGAGACACCACGGGACACCACGGGACACCACATCGATCTTACGATCGATCTCACGATCGATCTCACATTTGGGAACACCACGGGGCACCTCGGGACACCTCGGGACACCACATCAATCTCACTATCGCTTTCACGATCGATCTCACGATCGATATCACTCAACGGGACACCACGGGACACCTGTCGATCTCACTGTCGATCTCACTATCGATCTCACTCAACGGGACACCACGGGACACCACGGGACCCCTCGGGGCACCACATTGATCTCAGTATCGATCTCAGTATCGATCTCAATATCGATCTCACGATCGATCTCACTATCGACCTCACTCAACGGGACACAACGGGACACCACGGGACACCTGTCGACCTCACTACCGATCTCACTATCGATCTCACTTTTTGGGACACCACGGGACACCACGGGACATCTCGGGGCACCACATCGATCTCAGTATCGATCTCACTATCGATCTCACTATCGATCTGACTATCGATCTCACTATCGACCTCACTATCAATCTCACCATCGATCTCACTCAACGGGAAAGAATCATTTGTCTTGACATCGCCCTAGCATTGGCGGCGGACACCACGGGACACCACGGGACACCGCGGGACACCGAGGGCCACCGCCAGACGGACCGACGGGGGATAATCATTTGTCTTGACTTCGCCCTAGCAACGGCGGACACCACGGGACACCACGGGACACCGCGGGACACCGAGGGCCACCGCCGGACGGACGGACGGAGGATTATCATTTGTTTTAACTTCGCCCTAGCAACGGCGGGTTCATTCCTCTCGCGCGCCCACGCAG